GTCCATCAGCGGACCTGTGGTGGAAAATTACAACGCGTCTGTCCTTGAAATGCCAGTTTTGCTCAACAATCCAATTTACTTTCTTCTTTGCTAATTCTTTGCACCATAGCTAACTTGAGACACAATTTGACAAAGACAAACCACTTACTAATTTAAAACTGCATTCGTTTATTTTTTGCCACTAGGGGGCAGAAGAACTCCACAACAACCTATAAAAACCTACAGCCCTGACATATTATCTTCATATCAAGTTCTTATGGCTAACATGTTTGCAAACAGTTACCTCCACTAGTGACGGAAATTACGGCTCTTTGAAGGGCGCCGGATATCATGGCTCCCAACTGGCTCTTCATTTATTACCACTTCTGCTGATCACTGCCTAAGCTACATTCATATTGCCATAAATAAATGTGCATGATTCTTCATCCACAACATTGAATACACTGAATTTTTCTCTCATATTGATGGTTAAAACTGTGATATGTCAAGAATAACAATCCTTGTTGTAACAAATGAATGTATGATTAATAATAATTACACAACTCTATACAGACACATTTCAATTAAATAAGTGTTCCTGGTTTCGTGTGTAATATTTAGGAGGATGTAGTGACAGAAATGCAATATAATATCCCAAATAAAACACACTGAACCTTTAAAGGAGCCGGCTCATAGAGCTCATGAGTCATGTTTGTGTCAATTTAAATATTAATTTTATTCATTTAAATTTTAAGCTATTTAGCTGTTAGAAGTTCCCCTTTCTTCACCAGCTAGTTACCAACTTTGTCTTTCTGCCGTTTTGTCGTCAGTGCTTGTTTGCTAAAATCATGACAACAACAGAAGAGGTTAAACAAACAAAATGTTAATATAAAGATATTGATCACTGGAGCTTTGTCCCAGATTTGTGCAGTTAGCAAAACTAAAACAAATCAGCAGCCAAATGGTTGTTAATGGAGCTGTAAGAAAACAACATTTGATGAAATTGTGACACTGTTTTCTTTGATTATACAGGTGCTGGTCATATAATTAAAAAGTTGATTTATTTCAGTAATTCCATTCAAAAAGTGAAACTTGGATATTATATTCATTCATTACACACAGACTGACATATTTCAAATTTTTATTTCATTTAATTGTGATGATTAAAACTGACAACTAATGAAAATCCCAAATTCAGTATCTCCAAAAATTAGAATATTACTTAAGACCAATACAAAAAAAGGATTTTTAGAAATGTTGGCCAACTGAAATGTATGAACATGAAAAAGTATGAGCATGTACAGCACTCAATACTTAGTTGGGGCTCCTTTTGCCTGAATTACTGCAGCAATGCAATGAATCTCCATAAAGTTGGTCAGCAGCAGGAAGCATGAAGTGCTCTAAAACTTCCTGGTAGACGGCTGCGTTGACCTTGGACCTCAGAAAACACAGTGGACCAACACCAGCAGATGACATGGCACCCCAAACCATCACTGACTGTGGAAACTTTACACTGGACTTCAAGCAACGTGGATTCTGTGCCTCTCCTCTCTTCCTCCAGACTCTGGGACCTTGATTTCCAAAGGAAATGCAAAATTTACTTTCATCAGAGAACATAACTTTGGACCACTCAGCAGCAGTCCAGTCCTTTTTGTCTTTAGCCCAGGCGAGACGCTTCTGACGCTGTGTCTTGTTCAAGAGTGGCTTGACACAAGGAATGTGACAGCTGAAACCCATGTCTTGCATACGTCTGTGCGTGGTGGTTCTTGAAGCACTGACTCCAGCTGCAGCCCACTCTTTGTGAATCTCCCCCACATTTTTGAATGGGTTTTGTTTCACAATCCTCTCCAGGGTGCGGTTATCCCTATTGCTTGTACACTTTTTTTCTACCACATCTGTTCCTTCCCTTCGCCTCTCTATTAATGTGCTTGGACACAGAGCTCTGTGAACAGCCAGCCTCTTTAGCAATGACCTTTTGTGTCTTGCCCTCCTTGTGCAAGGTGTCAATGGTCGTCTTTTGGACAGCTGTCAAGTCAGCAGTCTTCCCCATGATTGTGTAGCCTACAGAACTAGACTGAGAGACCATTTAAAGGCCTTTGCAGGTGTTTTGAGTTAATTAGCTGATTAGAGTGTGGCACCAGGTGTCTTCAATATTGAACCTTTTCACAATATTCTAATTTTCTGAGATACTGATTTTGGGGTTTTCATTAGTTGTCAGTTATAATCATCAAAATTAAAAGGAATGGACACTTGAAATATATCAGTATGTGTGGAATGAATGTATACATTATACAAGTTTCACTTTTTGACTGGAATTACTGAAATAATTAAGTATTCAGTGTATCACCCAGCCCTGCTCAAAGCTGTTTCTAAATAGTTTTCTCAGTGGAAAAGGGACTGCGGACAGGAAGATCATGCTCAGACGTGATTTTAAAAATCCTGCTCAGCCTCTGAACTTGTTCCCAGGAAGAACATTTGATCCACCTAAATCTCTCTGCCGCAGCCTCGGGGGAGTCGTGGCCAATGTGCTGCAGCTGAAACAAAAACACTCTGCTTGTTATGAATCAGTGTTTTACTCTCTTAATGTTTACCTTCCTGTTTACCAGATCCTTCTTCCAGAGTCTGTTATGATCTCATTTTCATCTCTTAGTCCTCACTGTGTTGTTTAATGTCCCTCTCTCATCCCCTTGTTTCCTTCCATCAGCAGTATTTCCCACTGTCTAATTCACCTGGCTGTTTGGTTATTAGAAACGAATTAAGGCAGCAGAGGGGTTTTTTCTGCCCGGCCCCCTTTTAGAAAACATGATAGGCTGCAGATAATTGTAGTTTATTGATTTGTGTTTAATCATATTTTGCAGTGAGACAATCATTAGAGGATGTGTGACGCCTCTACTGTGGGAATAATCTGATTTATACATTTAGAGATTTCTAAATGGTATCAGTTTCTCCCTGCGAAAAAGAGAATACTTAGTCATTTTGTATTCTTCTACTTGTCCACAAGAGGGAGCTGGAACCTCACTAAGTCTCCTATGTTATGCTGAAAGTATCAAATATAATATAGCCAATGACATTATCATGCATTATTGAACAGAGCAATTATCCTGATCCATCAGTGAGTCTGGAGAGCTCATCAGTAACTTTGACATGTCTTTTGCAGAATTAGATCTTTGTGTTACTTTGACCATCTTTACGTTCCTATTCTTCTCCTTTAAAAACACTCACTTAAACATTATATTAGCACATGAATATTTTTGGGACAACCTGAACGTCCAACAATGTCCAAAAGGTCAAATCATTATTGTATCTATTTGCATATTTCCTGGCAAAAATGTAGAACCAGCAGTTTTTTCAAATTGGGTGATCAGTTCACCCAAATCACCAAAATGAATTACTCACTTATTCTCTGGTAGTATCTTGTTTGTTTGCGACATTTACATTTGTTTAAATATATTTAAATGGTTTAAATGTAATAATTATCTATCCATGCTGATAGATTTAGTTTTGTATGTCCAAAGCTCAAGATATCTGTTTCTGACAGTCTTTTTTTTTGCTGTTTTTGTTTCGCCTTTGTTGGACAGTTTACATTTAGCGCATATTTAACAAAATATGGAGAGAGGGAAGATCCACAGCACAAATCAAATCAGGGACAATTATGTGGTATTTCTGTTCCCACTCCAATACAACAGGGTTGAGGTGAATTCGTTTTTGACAGAATTACAAATCACCTTTAAAAAAACAGCACAGGCAAAATATCCCTGTTGTTCTGGAGCAGGAGTCGACACTGAGGGCAATGGAGTCTACAGTACTTTAACTTGTGCTCCTGTTTTGCCCAAATTTGTTTTCATTTTCGCAAATTAGCACCATTAAAAGTATGCCAAATTAGCTATTAGCAGTTACTGTTTGCAATGTACCTGTGAATTTACAGACATCTTTCACTGGATTACTTTGATACTGAAGAAAACTTCTTCTCAGGCAAATGAATTTCTAGTAAATGTTAATGTTTATACATGTTTAGTTGCAATGGACATTGCAGATAATGATATCATAAGTCACCCTGTATCTAAAAATATGTGTTTCATGATGTGTGTTCAGATGACATATTTTGAAGCAAATTGCGGTGTTCTGTCAATTTATGCAACCTATTGAGATGTTCGACTTAGCGGTCCTGCGCATGCGCATGTGCATGTGCACAACCCACAATCTTGGTTTCTGTTTCCACGTCGTTAAATCTGTGCAACCTTGCTGTCGGGCATGCCATCGAGACAAAGCCTGATGGTGAGCAAAATCTAAAAAATATTTTTTTCATTGTGACTTTTGGCCTGTAAGCATGTAGATATTTGCATGTACACGTGGGCTTTGCTTTAGGGTAATTGTACCTATTAACCCCATAAGCGTATATTTGGTGGGCTTAAACATTACAGTGTGAAAAGAAGCACACTGTATGAGTCAGTTTGAAATGAGAATAACTTAACTTAAGTTAAGTTATTCTCATTTCAAACTTCAGTGTGGTAGCCTCTGCGATCGATTTGCACTACGGTTGCATCTTTTGACAGGGCAGCATACAAGTCAGAACAACGGATCACGCCTCAGATATCTCTCTCTCCGTACTCCCCACTACCCATGGATAACCTTCTTCATTGAAACTACTTTCTACCTTTAAAAATATGATGTTGTTTTTGTAGTTTGTGTAAAGTGGCTTGAGGACAGAACCTTGAATTTCTGTCACTACCTTAAATCTATCCAGCAACAAGATTTATGAAGCTTTATGTTCGAACTCAGTGCTTGACTCGGTACATTTTGTTTGGAGTTTAATATATCTTTTTTCTACATCCATATCAAGTAAATGTAAATAATTTTCACACAGGCCATGGAAACATCACATGAAATGTACATGAACATGAAAATTAGTTTTCATGGCTTTTATAGCAGCATGGGTTAATATTATAGAGGTTTCCTGTTTGATTTTCACACAAACCTCACACACTTCATGAATAAATGAATACTAAGAAGCAATGCCACACTTGGTTCAGAGATAAATAGTTTTTTATTTTGGTGCCACAAATGATGACAATTCATACTGTCACAAACAATGCACAGTGCCTCAGTGACTGGAAACCTCCAAAAGCAGTGGTGAAATAAACACATGCTATGAAAAATGTACATGATGCGAATAAGTGCGAATAGAGCTACTGCCAAAGGTTACCAAGATGAAGTTAATCAAAATGCACTCTAATGCAAAAGAGACATGCAAAGAGATGCTTCATGAAAAACAATTAAAAATAACACATAATTATGACCTTAAAATTAGATCAAATCTTTCCTGAAAACGTGTAAATACAAACTGAACATCTGAATGAAATTAAATAGTGTTGTTTTAGGCGACATCACGCACAGAGTCTCATTTGTGTATGTACACTGACGTAGCCTGAGCTCATATGTGGCAGCAGATTTGGCGACAAACTCGATCATGATCACTCAGCTCTTGCCTCCTGCTCCGGAGGCCGAGCCGCTAACCGTCGACTTCCTCAGCTCGATTCTCATTGACTGGCTCTCGGCCCGAGACTCTAACCTTGTCACTGTCGACACACCCAGAACTGCCTTGCTGCTCGGTTTCATACCTTTTGACACGGGGATCCGTGTGGCGGCGCCCCGAGCTGACTGCACATCCGAACTGGGCTGGAGAATAAACAACAAAGTGACATAAGACTCAGGAAAGGATTTGGATCAAAGGTACACAAAAACAACAGAGTTGATCTGTTAACTGTTCATTTGTAACTGTGATGTAGATATCACTGTTGTGTTTAGGCAGGGATTGCACATAAGGACAAGGTGAGCTTCCCAGTTAGCATGGTTTTGGTTAGCCCTGTTCCAGGATCACTGTACAAAAGATCACGCACCACCTATCATAACTCAGACATTTTGGTCACGGAGCAGCTTGTAGAATTTGTTTCTGGAAGAATGATGAAAATACAAACAAACAGGATGGTAGACAATCTTCTTAGCAACTTATATGGCGGGAAAAAACAATCCCAGGCGTGTGTTAAGTGGCAAAAAAAGCATGACTAACTCAAGAAACATCTCTAGCTAGAACTAAATATTTAAAGATTGTGTTGCTGTAATATAGTTTCCAGTTGTTATAGTCAATGACTTTCATAGAAGAGACCTCCCTTGGTTGGAGTGAATCATTTATTCACCCATCCATTATCTACGCTTGCAGGGTTGAGGGGAGGCTGGAGCCTATCCCGGCACACAATGGGGAGAAGGTGGGGTACACCTTGAACAGGTAGCCAGTCTATCACAGGGCTGACACACATTCACACGCAGAAAGTCAATTAAGAGTCGCCAGTTAATCTAACCTGCATGTCTGGACAATGCGGAGAAACCGGACAAACCCATGCAAGCATGTAAAGTCCTCAAACTTCCAGCCAACCAGCTTGAACCCGGAGCCTTCTTGCTGTGATGGAACAGTGCTAACCACCACACCACCATGTCCCGCCCTGGACTAGATCAAATGTGTTGTACTTTTCTCACCTTATAAAGTTGCTAAGAAGAATGCTACCCATCCACTGCGTTTCTGACTAAGTGACTGAAATGTCCAAGTTACTGATGGTCCTGAATCAGGGCTCGACACCTCTGATTTGGTGACCTGCAAATTCTCAAATCAATGCTTACTGGGTCCATTTAAACAAGTGTGTGAGGGTTAACTAGCTGGCCTTCTTGGATATTAATTGTAATCAGGTCGGGTAATCTTATTAGAGAGTGTTCAAGGCTGCTCATCTGTACATTTCTTAAATAGCAAACGTGTAACATCCAAATGGATCGCTTCCTGCCCGTGTTTGGTTAAAAGGAGTGAATTTGTCAGTTGGTAAATTTGTGTCTGTCTGTACAAGACCCTTAGGCTGGTGATACATGGGGCAACCTTTTGAGCAATGTTGCTGGGCAATACTTCTCAGGCACTTTCCCACAGAGAATGGGCAACACATTTCTATCTGCATACTTTAGATCGGTCGTTGGCTATTTTTGAGCTCCTCCAATTAGAATGTTAGCACACGATCACGTGACAGGTCTTGGCGATTTCAGAAAAAATTAAATAAGATGGCAGTGGAGCCGTTTTTTTATGCCAGTAAGTTGTCATGTGTGTCTGAAAACACTGATCCTTCTCGCGGGGCGAGTAAAGTAGCAATCTTTACTCACACACTGTGCTTGTAAATTATTTTTCCGGTTCGCAGGTATCTATTTTTAGGGACATATGCGACTAAATTGGTCGCATTGTAGAGTCCAATATACTTCTAGCATTTTGAAAGCTGACACATCAAAAAAAGAAGAACGATGGAATGCATGTAGGTAATTGAATCAATGAATGTAGTAAATGGGCCAAGTAACCAGAGTATCTACTCAGTTTTGTGCTTTACATGATTCTTACTTAAGAAAAAGAACTGTTGAAGCTAAGATAACAGTCACAGCTGCACAAATTTTAGTGTCCATCACTGCAGTGTCCGTGTCCCTGGCAATAGATTTGCGCCTCTGACTGGTTGTTGCCAACTGTCCGTTGGCCTGTGTCTCACCTGGTTGCCCAGCAACATTGCTCTAAAATTTGCCCCGTGTATCTTCAGCTTTAGAGAGGCCTCTCTGGGATGTAAGATCATTCCAGTGTTAGTTCATACCAGTGAGATCGTATGTTTATAAATTCACTGTTTATACCTGGAGAGAGTGCTATCTAGGGAGCACACACCACCTGATTTCATTGTGAAACATTTCAGAAGGAACTGCAACGTAAAAGATTATACATGATTCAGATTTTTTTGTTTGTGTATAAAAGGCAAAATGTCTTCTATGTCTGTAGCTTGTGGAGTCTCTACATATTCCGAAAGATGGAGGACATCAAACATAATGATCTCTAAAGCTCTCACCACTGACTGTGTCGGCCTGGAGGATGCCGAGGTGATGGGGTGATTGTTATACTGCTTGTCATTTTGCTTGGCGCCGTCTTCCCCAGTGAGGTTTGGCTTGGGGAGCGGAGCACCGTTCCTGTTGACATTTCCTTGCTGCTTTCTGAGCTTCTGAGCGTCAACACTGAACTACTGCAGCCCTCAGAGGGCCTCTTAAACTGTGGACCCAAGTGGATATGGATCTTGTTGTCCTCTGTTGTGATGATGTTGCTCTTGACATTGTATTTCCTGTAAGGAGCTGGCCCAGGTTGCTTCTCCGGGGTTACCTTGATCACCGTTCGGCCTGTGGTAACATTGTGAGGCTCAGGTGAAGCACATGCTTCAGCCACAGGAGTGGCACTGACTGTGATGATGGACACCGGCGACTGAAGGCTGTCAGAGTTGCGGTCCTTGGTCTTGTCCGGACTCTTGGCCCTGGAGATTGTGGTTATTGTGACTGGAGATTTGGCTCGATCAAGACCTCCCGTCGGCTCACAGCCTTTGCTCTTTGAGGTCACAGTTGTGGGTTTAGGGACGATTGTGATGCGCGGTTTTTGAAGGCCGAGAGTCGGGATGATGGTGGTGCTGGAGAAGAAATCCTCTGCCCGGGGCTGGTGATCTCCAAGGTGGCAGTGCTGTTCTCATGATCTGGGGTCACTCGGATGTGCAGTGGCTGGCCTGGCTTTTGGGACATGGTCATCTCAGGAGAGGTCTGAGTGAGTGTGATGGCCTCCTTCTTTTTCATCCAGGGTATCCAGGATTTTCCTGCCCCAAGTTCTGCTGATGCTGGAGGGTATCGCTCAAGAACAGTTGGCTTTTTAAGGCCCCGTTGTCTGAGGTTGCTCATTAAATGGTTTTCCTCAAGGACTGATTTCCGGATAAAGCCTGCCGCCGTCTCGTCCTCAGCAGGCTCACTGGCCATCACATCTGTCTGCACTGCAGTGGAGGTAACCGGAACATTGACCATCCTCCTACCATTCATACTGGGCCTCAAGGCGCAACTGTAGCGCTTGGTGGCTTCAAGCTCCTTGGTAAGGCTGACTACTTCCTGGCTCATGCTTTTCTTCTTCTCCTCCTCTTCCAAGAACCTCTGCTGGAGGACAGAATAATCCACCTGCAGCTGGGAGAGCTGGTCCTCCTTGTTCATCAGTTCATGGACTTTCTCCTTCAGGGCCTGGACGTCCACCTGCAGCTCTCTGGTTTTAGCCTCCTCCATCTTGCAGCGAATTCTGAGCTCAGCCTCTGGACTCGTGACCTCACCTTTCTCAATGGCTTTGTTTCTGGCAATCTGACTTTTCATTTCTTCCAGTAGCTTAGAAAGGGTATTTGCTTTATCCTGCTCTGTTCTGAATTTCTTCTCCAGTAGATCATACTCATCCTCTGTTTTCATTAAATCTCCTTCTACCACCTCAAGTTGTTTTAGCCTGCTCTTAAGTCTTTCAATTTCTATCGTGAGCTCTTTTACTTTGTTGTCTTCATCTGGATTTCTGTGTTTGTCCTTGTTGGCCCACTTTTTCTGCATTTCCCTCTCTGTTTCCTCAAGTCCGTCTATTCTTATTTTCATACCACTTAGCTTGGTATTCAGCACCCTGCACTTTTCCTCTTCACTTGCAAGTTTAGTTTTTAACTCATCTTTCTCTTTACTGACAGTTGTCACTTTGATCTCCATTTCTGATTTGAATTTCAGAAGTTTTTTGCTATCTTCTATCAGCTTCTCGGTGACCTCCGTAACCTTACACTGCTCTGCTTTTAACATCTTACTTAAATCATCATTTTTCTGTTCTTCGTGTTTAAGTCTTTCCGCCATGTTTTTTCTTTCATCTACCAGTATAACTGTGAAGGACTTCAACTTCATAAGATCGTCTTTGAGGACCATTTCTGTCTTTTCAAGCTTTGACTCTGAGCACTCTAGTTCTTTCAGCTGGGTTTTCACCCTCTCCAGCTCAGCGGCCAGATCCTTCACAACACGTTTCTCTTTTTCCAGGTTTGTATGAAGCTGAGAGCACTCGGTTTTGCTCCTATTGAAAGCCCCCTCCAGTTTTTCCAGTTCAACCATTCTATTCTGCAGTTTGTCCACCTCCAACCTCAGCTCCTTGCTGTGGTTCTCCTCAATCTGCAGCTTTTTCCTCAGCTCCCTGCACTGAGTCTCTGTTTTGGTTATCTCCTCATCCTTGCCCTCCATCTCCAGCACTCTCTTCCGCAGATTCTCCAGCTCGGTCATGAGTGATGAATCCCCGCATTCCCCTTTGCTGATCTTCTCCCTAAGCTCCTGCAGGTCCTCCTCTGATTTATGCAGCACCTTGTTGCTCTCCTCCAGCTCTTCAATCTTGTGTGACAATCCGGCCAGCTTCAGCCTAAGCTGTCGGCTTTGGGACTCTTCGTTGGCCAGTTTGGCGGTCATCTCCTCATGTTCTTGCGCAAACTTGGCTGCTCTATGCTCCAGCTCGGCCTCCAGCTTGAGGACCTTCTGGCCGTCCTCCTTGGCAGTGTCGGTGACCGCTGCCAAACGCTGCTCTTTATCCTGCAGCTTCTGAGTCAGGTCCTGGATCTTCTGGCTCTGTTGGTCAATCTGCTCAATATGCAGCTGCCGCTCGTCTACCAACATCAGGGCAAAGGACTTCAGCTTAACCAGCTCCGCTCTGACCTTTTCCAGCCGCCTGCTGTGGTCCTTGTCCTTACGAGCCTGGTAAGCTTTCTCCTGCTCCAACAGTCGTTTGAGTCTAAGAAAGAGGCAAATTGTCAGTGGGGTTAATCATATATGTTATATCATATAAATATCATATTATATTATTATATTATATTGTCTTTTCAGTGCAGATGACACCAATCCTGAATTAATCATTGGATGCAGAAAAGGATCCTCGTGGTACCCTCATGTGACAAAGTTTTGTTTTGTCAACTCTCTGTGACCAAACTAAAATAACCACCGTGTCAACTACTCTATAGTTTACCGTATTCCTGTATCAGATGGGGAAATATGGTGCACATCTCTAAACAAACCAGACCACGCTGAGAGAGCATACCTGATCCTGGTTGGGGAGGCGAGGAAGCAGAATAAAAGGCAGCAGCAGGATTACAAGAAAACAAAGGAAATAACAAACAGGAAGATCAGAGCTTAGAGATCTTACCCTGCCCGGTCTAGAGTAAAGGAAAGAATTATACCTGCAGGTCAGGAACTTTAATATGCAGGTGTGTTGAGTTGGGAGCTTGATCATCCAGCTGATCCCGGTCAACTACGATAATTCTAACAGGATTAATCCTGTGGTTTTAATTAATCAGTGGGCTCCATGATGGTCAAAAATGCTGCTTGTCAAAAATACAATTATGGGTTTGACACCGGCATATATCCTAATAATTATGAACTGGAGAGTTTGTTTTGTACGAAAAATTGTTGATTTTTACATCTAGATGTACTACATTTATTCATTTAGCTGATGCTTTAATCCAAAGTGACTTACAATTGCTATTTATGTCAGAGGTCGCACGCCTCTAGAGCCACTAGAGGATAAGTGTCTTGCTCAGGCACGCATTAGGGTCTCACAGTGGATTTGAACCCAGGTCACTCAAACCAAGGGCATGTGTTTACTCACTGCGCCACCTACTAAGATTGAACTTAACTCATTTGTATGAAGTGTTATCCAAACACGAAACCTATTCAATTATACAAATGGAGACATACTTTCTCTAAAGGAATCCTGGTGATGGGAGTATTTGTGTAAAGAATAAAAAAAACAGTGCTTGAGAGCAGCTTTCAAATACTGCCTACTTTCTCAACTACGCACAACTAGTCAATCACTGCGTGAAGTGGGTGTGAATGTCGCATTGTCTGTTTCAGTCACAAACATCAGAAAGGGGGGGGGGGGTCAGATGCTGGTTGACAATCTGTCACGCACTATGTTTGAGTCTGCTCTCTTTTAAAGAGTAACCGGGCTGAGAAACAGTGATTTGCTGTGCATCTGTTACCACACCCACCAGTAATGTCATGGGATGCTGGAGTCCACCTGTACATCACTACAGCAAGGTGAGAACTTAAAGCACTGGAGGTCAGCAAAAACAAGATTGTCTCTCACCTTTTTTCCTTTTCCATCTCATCACAGCCACTTTCAATGTAAGTGTGGCACATTTCACCTGGCTTTTGGCTGACAGATAAGAATAAAAAAGAAAATCCGGTTGCCTTGACATAATAGAGATCTTACTGATGTATCTGGATGAATGAGAATCTTTATACGTATGATGCTTTTCACACTATCACAAATTTCAACGCACCAAACCCCTGAGATAAAGCAATACTAAGAGACACTGCACAGCAGCCAACAAAGTTCTGAGAAACCTGCCAGAGTTAATGTCCTGTGGGTAGATGATTAACTAATCTCTGCGGGAGTCTGTGTGTGTCTGAGAGAGTCTTTGCATGTCTCATGAGCATGAGACCCTTTCATGTGGGTCTCATGCTCATGAGACCCACATGAACAAATGTCACATCAGATACATGATACAGGTCTCAGACTGCACAACAAGTTTCAGTAAAAAGAAAACAAATCTGCAAATTCCATTCACGGACTCCATCCCTTTACCGTCTGATCCTCCAGTGTCAAAAACGTCTTCCCCTGAAACTTTGGTCAACTTACCAACAAGTTGTGATGCAAAGCAGGTTGATCCATATCTGAGTGTGTTTTTAAAGCTGAGCAGGAGCCAAACTGCTGCTGAGTCTCTCACGGGGTCAGAGAGGGAAGGAAGGAGGGGCCCTGACTCCGTGGGGAATTAGCCATCACATTCCAAACATGTCAACAGTGGACAATGAAAAAGGTGAATGTTGTACTAAACAGCCCCGCTCCGCTGGCTGGTGATGTCATCCACCGCTCCATATATGGCCAAAGAGGCCCTGCCCTTGTTTGGACACTGAGGGGGACGGGTTCAAGCCAGGGGGGGGAGGCTTTTTAGCAAGCTCTTCCTCCTCTGTCTGCCTGTTTTGTTCCCCCTCTGAGGAGGAGGGACGACTGGTCAGCAGGTATGACATAACACATTAAGCCTTTAAGTTCAAACATTTCTTTGTTTTTCATCTTTTTTTATCCTTTTCATTAAATGTTGCTTCAGTTTGACATAACTGTCTCCTGTCTGTCTTGCAGCCAGCAGTGTTTCCATAGAAATGAGGCAACAATGCAAGGCGAGAGTTTTTGTTTCGGAGAGGACAATGCCAGACTTGCACAGCCTTTCTCATTATAAATCCCCCTGTATCGTGCAAAGGGACAGGACAAGGGTATAAATTCTCCATAGTGGCTAAATTGTATGTGAGTGAGATCATAGCTTCAGACAGCAGAGGAGGCCTGTGGTTTGCATTGCAGAGGCTTCTAAATGAGCCAAATATGAGCAGCGCAAAGAGCTTACAGATGCACAGAAACTTTCTTTCACTGCTCCAGATACATGCAACAGATAAATATGACCAGGATGCAAGAGCACTATTAATTACCTATATTTTGTGGCTTAGATACTTGCGCTTTTGTTGGCATGCTTGTAATTTTGAGATGTGGAAATAAATCACTTACTAAATCCTCTAAGATATCTTTCATTAATTTCTATCGGCAAGAATTGAAACAAGGCTTTAAAACAAATGACAACATGTTGATGACATTTGTTATAGAAGTTGAATAGCACAGGCCCAAAATTCTGAAAACCGTCAGAATCAAGATTTCACACTCCTCTGTTATTACGACTTCACCCATGAGTGGACTTTAATGCAAAGATGTTTCGAAGTGCAGCCTTAGCTAATCCTCTGAAATTCATCCACCTCAAAGTGCTCCCCCTCGCTCACAGGACGCAGAGTATCTGTCATTATGACCTCGTTGGCAGATGATTGCTCTGCAGAAAGCCTTTCTCTGTTCGGGTCTATTCATAGCCTCACTGCTGACAGAAGCCTGTCGGAGAGGCAGAGAGAGCCCCAAACACTCATAAAACAGAGCCGAGCTGAGCCCACAGCAAACACACAAGACCAGAAGATGCTGATCTGCAGCTAGTTATAGCCGCAATAATTACCATCCTTATTAACATTCTGAACAGACGAGTCGAAAGAACGCTTTGACACCCGAGGAGGCACATTTGTTGTTGACTGAGGGGATAGAAATGGGATTTTTTTTTTTTACCCTGCATTTTTACATGAATCAGAAATGTCCACCACTGTGAAATTACAGAGGATCAAACCTACATTTTTCTGAAGACAGACATGATTTACTGGTAACTTCTCAAAACACTTCTCCTTTTTCCTAAAAGTTGAATTAATATACTACTGAAGTTATCAAAATAATGAGGAAACATTTTAAACGCAGCATAAAGTTAACTGTCAACAGTATGTGTTTTTGTTTCCTGTGTTTATGGCACAAAAGCATGATAAAAATGATTTTGACAAGTTTGTAAGTTTCACTTAAAGGATCTTAACGATGTCTCCTCACGATTTTGCTTCTTATAGCAGTGACAGAACGTATGAAAAGTGTAACTTGTAGTGACAAACCCACCGAGAAAGAAGTATTACCTGACTTTGCAGTTCCCCTCAGCTCTAAGGAGCACTTTAGTGTCAGCTCTTAGTTTTTTTCTTCTATGGCTTGAAAACTTCACTGTTTTGATTCACTCCAATCAGCAGTTCACTACCTGCTCTACAGCAAGCAGAAGAAAGACACAGTTAGAGACTAGCTGGGAAGGAAAGTGGAACATTAAGCAGCTACAGAGCCAGATATGTTTTCTAAGGTGTTGGTGGAGACCAAAGCAGAGCTAAAAGATACTGAATACTGGACACAAACACAACTCCGAAGGCATGATTATGTTGCTCTGTAACTGCTTGATGTGTAAATAAGCAACTGTTTGCTAACAAGTTTGCCATTTCCATTTAAAAAGTGATAATATGTCAGGTTTGTGTTTCCAGCTTGGTTCTGATGCCCCAAGTGGCCAAAAATCAGCGTTTGCACAAGCTGTTCTCGAGTTGTTACAAATGGACGCATGGTCAAGACCCGTTGGCGTCCGTTTGTAACGCACTGGATAGTTTCTTAGCATCATAGTTCATCACATTGGGGGAAGACCTTTTAGCATTATTTTTTAATGCTAAAAGTAAGTGTAATATATAATAACGTCAGAGTATGGAGGTTGAGGGTGTGGACAGGTGGGTCAGAAACTGGACTTACTTTGACCCAGGAGGTTGGTATCCCGTGTGAAACAAGACGTCAACATTGATTCTTTTTAGTGAACTCACGTAAATAACGTAGTTATTTTAACCCAAACCATGATGTTTTCTTAACCCTAACCACGTAGTTTTGTTGCCTAAACCTGACCAACTTGCGACATTTCACAACATTAACCACTAGTTTTATTTTGAAAGTCTATCCAGAAATTGCTGGGAAATTTACTCTTGCTTACTTGACTGAGGAGAACTACATGTGCAAAAATGACTCTAAATGGTACCCACGGTGTTGGAAAGCTACGCCAAGAGTTCTTGACCAAGCGTCCGTATCAGGTGAGTTAGGAGTGAGAATGTGTTGCATTGCAGATTTAACTTTGCGGACCAGTGCTGCGCCCTTTCAGTTTTTTTTTATTGAATCTACCATTCCAGGCAGCCGTTGTTTTCTTTTCATTTTTATACATTATGAAAAACAACTAGCAGACTCTTGGAGGTTAATTAATTGATCAGAGTGAACATCAAGTCTGTATCGTATTTTAAAAGTCTGCACTGCACAACAAAGAAACAAAAAAGAAAAAAGTACATCATACTATTAAAATGAATGGAAACTAATGGAAGTCTGGAATGGTAGAAGAAAATCTAATTTCTAAAACACGGTACCATCTTTTACAAAAGGCTTAGCTTAGAACATGTTTCTGCCGTCTCACTGTGTAAAAAATAACAGAGCCTTTACTGGGTAGCTTTTAAAAGAGTGAAGACAATTTTTTGCACATATAACTTAACTTTTCCTCAAGTAAAACTAGAGTAAAACATTGATGGTACTTTTTGCAGCAGGTTTAACATTTTTCTTGTGTAGTTGTATTCGCCCATGACAGTTGTTACACAAACAGAGCCTCGAATCATCCAGCAGGATCTCTGTTGGGAATGACATCAGCCTCTCTGTGCCGAGGGTCGACCCATTCATTCATGATGTCACCTGCAGTGAATCTGCATGCTGACTGCAGCCAACAGGAATGTGTTATCAGAGGAGGCTCAGAGGAGGAAGGTCTTATCTTATCGGTGACAATCTTACTTCAACTACAGGATCCAAATTATCCATAAAAATGAATCAACACCTCTCCAAACTATGAAGGTAGAACTTTGCAGAGCTGTTTTAACATTGGCATCAATGATCCATCTATGTCTAACAGCCCTGTTTTCAGCTTTGTGATGATGAATTTTCCAGCTGATCCGAGGAAGGATTTAAAATAGTTTATTGAGCTTGTTTAGCAGGAAGAGCATGAAAAACAGAAACTGATAATCTGAAATATAACTAGTAACTAACTAATATCTGAAGGATAAAGGACTCTGTTTTGAGATCAACAACGTACATATTTTTAAGGAGTCAAGGAGACCATTTTGTTAAGAGACTCTTAACAGGGGAGGACGTTTGTGACACCACTTATCCCCCATTTACAAAGCTGTCCTTCATCTCCTCCCAGGAAACATACACAATTAACCTTTTTCATTACCAAATGTATTTATTTTTAATTTATTTATATATTTTAATATTTATTTCTGCATTTGTTAATTTGTGCCAAACGGATGCTGATCAGGCTGCTTTTGTGTTTGCTGTGGTGATGCAGAGAAACTTTTTTACAGTGATAACATCCTGATTTAAAGGTCCAGTGTGTAATATTTTTGTGGATCTCTTGACAGAAATGCAATATAAGATCCATAATTATGTTTTCAGTGGTGTATATGATCCGACATTTCTATCGCTACAGAGCGTGTTTCATCACTAAGTTCTTCTTGTTCTACTTCTGGGAGAATTCAGGCAGTGCGGACAATGCAAATGACGGTCAACCACACTTGGCCTCATGTGACCCTAACAACTGTTGTTACAGCAGCCATGAGCACTAACAAACCAAGCGGTATCAATCAACCTGATAACGACCCCACAGAGGTTAAATAGCAGGGACTCCCTGCCAGTCAGTCAGAACTGAAGAAGCCTAAAAATCTTTTTCAGGTTGGTTGTGATTGTTTTTTGCTGTATGCATATCCCTGTAAATTGCTCTGTGGGTAACACTGAGAGCAGCTTAAAACCAGAGTCAAATTCTTTGAATGTTTACGCAAACTTGGCCAATAACGCTGAGTCTGATTCTGACACAAACGGTCTTCCATTATTGCAAATGATGCAGCGCAACACTCATTATTAAAAGGCAACAGAAAAAAATTATGTTTGAAAGCTTATTATGAGAGCAAGAGTCCTCATGGAGGCTGTCCCAGCAGGTAGGAGCATAAAAACAAACTGCAGCTCAAGGTGTCAATAAGTTGTCCGTAAGAAAAAAAAGATAGAAATAGTAAATTAAATCACAATAAGGAAAATAATTCTTGCTTTTTGTGATTAGATCATAGTGAATTATACAGGCACACATTACTTACTGTGAAAACAGTACGTGTCTCGTGGACCTTGGTCCAGTCTTATTCTGCTACAGAGCAAAACGCTAGGAGTCAAAGCCTATGTGAAAGATGTCTGACACGTCTGCACACCTTTAATTCTGCAGAAACTCAGAGCCTCGTGTCGTGGCTGTGCTTTGTGCTGTGTGAATTCAATGGCTTGATAAGGCGCGACTCATCACCCTTCCTATCAAAACCATCATCCAAAACCCTTGATGCTCTGGGTTTTATCTGAAGCCTTCCACAAGATAAATAAACATACATCTGCAAAACACGCATGTTTTTCAAAGAGCTATGCGTTTTTCTCCATACATTTTTACAAACACATGAGGGTTTTTAAAATAAAACAGATTCCAAAAACCTGAGGTTCTTTCATCGTGGACAGTAAAGGACATGACTCTCATTCAGCAGCATGTGTGATCTCAGCAGCTTTGTCCTAACTTGCCACCACCAGGCAGGGGTCTGAGGTACTACAAGTCACTCAGATTGACATTTAGGTTCCACTTCTGCTGGAGATGCATCATGCTGGTCACTCTGTCTGTGCCATTGTCAGACAGTCTTGAACTACATATGTACATCATGTATACTTTAACCTGCATTAAAACATTTTGGGCCAACGGGAACAAGTTGCAAACACCACACTGACATATGATCACCTTATAAAGTTTATATGGTTAACTTGTTAGCAAACAGTTACCTATTTACACATTCAGATATGGAGCAACTTAAGTATTAAAGTCCAATATCCGCTTTCCTTTTAGCTGTGGTTTGGTCCACCTGCTTCTGAGATAGATATCTGGCTCTTTAGCTGCTCCTCAGCAGCTAGCCTCTAACTGTGTCTGCTGTTTGCTGCTGAGCAGGTTGTGTACAGCGGGATTATTACAGAGCTTGTTTGCAGTAAACTGCTGGAAAAGATGACAGAGCTGAGACTGAAGCAAAACAGTGAAACAAAACTATGAGCTAAAAAAGCAGAGCTTAAACCTTTGTGCAGTGTGGATGTTTCCCTGTCCTCCTAGAAAATACATTTATATAAACTGATTTGTTTCTGTATTTTTCTTATATTGAACAAACCCCATGGAAAGACCAATGCCAATTATGACTGTATCCTAGTAACACGTACTGTGTGTATATCACAGCCTGATGTCTCTTTATCCTCTGAGCCTCAGAGCTCCATTGTTCTCCAGAAACTATTAAACCCCATCAGTGAGCCTCACTGCTGCGCTGGGTCACATGTTCCTTCATCATGACCACGAACACACACTCTGTAGTTTATTCTGACTCAGTCCCACATAAAAATAATGTCTAGAGCACCACATGTGGATTCGTCCACCGCTGAAAATAGTCCCCAACAAATGCACTATTTCCTCCTGTTTGTGTAATATTTGTTAAAAACTACAGTGAGCAGTGAGTTTTAGGAAATGACTAAGTCTTTTAAAAAATGAAAATACATACTTCAGGCTGTTTTAAAAATAGGATCCAATGGGCTTGGAGCTGAGAGACACAGACAGGATGTCTGACAGTCTTAAAAGACGGACTAAGGTCTTGGTTTTAATCGAGCTTCCGATCTGAGACGTGAAGCCAATCCGGAAGTCCCTTAAACCTGCATTCTATTGAACAGCCAGCAGGGGGCGACTCTTCTGGTTGCAAAAACAAGTCCTGCTCCATTAGAAATAATGGTAAAATGAGGCTTTTATTTATTACACCAGTAAACACTTTCATAATAAGTTTATGGTCTCAGTCGCTAGTTTCAAGTCTTCTTCAATACAACATGATGTTCATTTAGTAAATTATGGTCCCATTTAGAGGGAAATAGACCAGAAAGCAGAGTACGCTTCAGGGCGGGATTATCTTTGATTGACAAGTCATTACCATGGCGACCTGTCAATCAGTTTAGAGTGACTCGTACCCAGTGCTTTAGGAGTTGGCTGTTCACTTTCTCTGGTGAGTACATTTAGTTTTAGCTTGACAAAATTATCAGCCCTGTTAAAATGATCTCCACACACGGCCGTTAGCTCCAACGTCTTGTCTAAATATGGTCACGTCCGGTGCCGCTGGTTGCAAAAACTCAACATGGCGGTGAACTATGAACTATGAACTATGAACTACCAAACTCGAGGCTTAAAAACGGCAGTCCACAAACCAACGGGTGACATCACGATGACTACGTCTATGGTTTTGATCCTTTCATGGGATTTTGTTGACAGTAAGAAAAATATAGACTAATGCCAGCTTTATTCTTTAACATGAGAACTTCTTTTGTAGAGAAATGTTGTTCGAAAGTATAATGTTATTTCTAAAATCTAAAGTTTTCAGATGGTTCCCAGCCTCAGTCCTGACTTTGATCAAACTCAGAATAAGACTGAGGATCCCAGTGTGCATGTAGACACACTCAGTGGTGAAACACACTCTCGCTCTGTGCCCTCACCTCTCCCTCTCCTGCTCCAGCAGGTTGGTGAAGTCGTCGCTCTTGTTCATGAAGTCGGTGTGTTTGCGTTTCTCGTTGTCCAGCTCCATGACGGTGCGGCGGTGACATTTCTCGGCCAGCAGCAGCTGCTCTAACATCCGTCTGTACGTCTCCTTCTGTTTGTCCTCCAGACGGTCCAACTGACGGGAGACACGTCAACGCTCATTATTAACAAGAACTCGCTCTCTGAAAGCACATCTGCAGAGCACAATATCCCAAAGCATTAGCTACAGTTATGGGGATGTTCTGTTTGTGGCATAACAATGAGCAGAGAGACTCTTTCCACACAATTACGCACATTTTGTTCAGCCTTTCTGTGACACCCTGCAGACTTCACCGAGCATGGCAAATTATATTTTCAGCCATTCATCACACAAAAGAACAGGACTGTAGGCCCCTTATAAACCCTGGTGTAAATGCACCACCAAAATAAAAGTTCAGACAACATTTGTACTCCATGTATCATCTGTGACGGCTACCTGTCTACCTGTACCTCTCTAAACTCTTTAAAATCAGTTTGAATATACATTGTATTTAATCACTGACATGTTAAACTAAATTATCTTCAAATCTGGTCGCTGAATTTAGCCAGTTCCTGTCTGTGAGGAGATCCCAATGGAGGATGCTGAGGTCATGATTTCAGTGTGTTTTCTTTTTTCTAGGAATTTGGAGGTTTTATTCTACAGTTTAAAACTTTTAGAATGATTCTGGTATTTTATTAGACGCAGTATTTTCCCACCAGAACTCAGTCCTTCTCCACCTGAAGTTCATTGCTGGCCAGGTGAGGAGAGTTTTAAAACAGCATTTAGACCATCCTGGTGATAAATAAAATGGTAACTCTTTATTTTTACATGTCTGCAACAGGGAAATGTGAGTACAATTACCCAAGTAGTTTACTTAAGTACATATATGAGGTACTTGTACTTGAGTATTATCATTTTATGCTACGTTAAACTTACTCTAACGCAATTCAGAGGGAAATATTGTACTTTTACTCCACTACATTTATCTGACAGCTTTAGCAACTTGCAGACTCAGCACAAAACTTTACGCACAAAACATGACAACAATGCATCGTGTTTTATAAGTTGCTTATAAGTTTTGTACGTCAAATAGATTAAACTACCAAAATGAATATAAAATAGTTTAAGAAATATATAACAGAATATATAATAGAAAAACACTCACATGTAATTTTTCAGCCTTATGAGCAGTTTTTCATATTTTAAGTTCATTTTGCTAATAAAACTTAATATTTTCAGTGCAGGACTTTTACTTGTAGTGGAGCATTTTCAGTGTGGTATTACTTTATTACTGCTTTTGAAGGAACAGATCTAAAGATCAGATCTACTTCATCCACCACTGCAGGTCTGTAAATTCCTAATAATTTCCTGGAAGGAACTATCTGACAATAATTACTGAAGACAAACTCCTGTAAGACTATTTCATTTTCCTTAAACTGCTCCATTTAAATGCAGATATATCAGGAAATACTGTCTACTGTACATGATCAGCTGCTGTCACTTTGAGAAGTCCAAAACCTTTTGAGACTTGCGGACCCACGACCAGCAGTAAAACCAGTCAGTGTGAACCCGTCAGCATCTTCCTCTCTCACCTCGGCCATGGGTTTCTCGTACACGTCGTCAGTGCTGTTGTTGCTGTGGATGAGCAGTCCGTCTCTCTGCAGGGCCTGCAGGGGTTTGGTGGGGACTCCTGATCCGTAGTGAGCCTCCAGAGCCTCCGGTCTGGTTTTCTCGGTCTTAATCAGGCTGATGATGTCCTCTCTAGCCTGAGGAGACACAACAGAGTCTTTAATGCTTCGTATAATCACTAACTGCAGCCTGAGAGACGAGGAGAACATTGACGTCTTGATGATTTTAGCAGTTTTGTGATGTTTTTATTTATTTGTGAGTATTTGTTTCCTGCGTTGGTTGATCAATATAGAAACACTGTGATTTCCTTGTTTTTATGGATCAATAAACTGAAACGTTGATCTTTTAAATACTGCAGTTAGTACTCTGGAATGAAAGCACCGTAACTTTCAAATTAAGTTTATTAAAGTTGTTTGTATTTATTTATTTTATAAATATTTATGATATAAGATGTTATAAATAATATAATTATTCATTTTTTCATCCTTATTGAGTGGATCACTTCAAAACAAGGCTGTCTAATAGTAATTTGCAAATAAAACTAAAAAGAATTGGAACAAATGGTGAAATTTAACTTTTAAAAAATCATTTAAGACCTGCTAATAAACAAGAAACTGGAAAAACAAAATCCAGTAAAATTAAAAAAAACAACTCTTGTAAAAAAAATTGGAAAAATCAATATAAGCTCTACACTTCAATTATCTAATAACACAGTTTTATTTTATTTATTTAACTTGAAAAAGCACAAACACAGCCAAATATAGAACATCATCGACTACCAGTGGTTTCAATCTTAAAATATAAAGTAGTTTCACCTCTATACTGAATCACTATGAATTCCCGGAGATAAACAGAGGAGGGTAAAATAAATCTTTTAAAGATTTACAGTTTCTGTTTCAACCATAATCTCCTTGAATATTTGCACAGTGATGCTCAGACGTCAGCTGGGGAACAAAAATGTGACTGGCTGCTGTTCTAACATCATCTGGATGTGATGCAGCTGCAACAATGTGGATCACTGACATCCCATTAATCACAAGTCAGATTTACACCACCAGAGGGAGTTATTTCCATCATTGTTCTCTGCACAGTGTCTCATTTCATTCAAGGCCATGACACACATATTCCTGCACAGAGACTGTAGAAACCACGAAACCTTTTTTTTTATTATATAAAGACATAAAATTCAACGCTGTTCTCAGAGTGCAAAAAGGTTGGATGATATTTTTTGGCTCTAGGATCGCAATCAGGGAAACACCTTCACAAAAAAAAGTGTCCCACCAGTCCTCAATATCTGCAGATTCCCTATATTTGGAGGCATCTGAAAAAAAGATTTTAAAATGCATGTACAAATTATTGCAGCACAAAGTGGATTCTGATGTTACCGTGCATGTAAAATTAGATGTTAATGTCTGTGAGGGTAGTATATAATGCTTAAAGGATAAGTCCGGTGTCATTCTATATTTTTCTTTTTGTCAACAAACCCCATGAAAAGACCAAAACCAACAATGCGCCCGTCTTTCAATGCTTCCTGTCTGGGGCTCTCAGCTCCCTTTGATCTCCAGTAAATCTCACTTCAAAGAGCTGCTCACTGAAGTCTATATCAAACAAACTGGAGGAAATAGCGCATTTGTTGGGGACTATTTTCAGCAGTAGATGAATCCACATGTGGCGCTCTAGTGAGTATTTGGGGCAGCAGGACGGTGTATGTGGGACTGAGTCAGAATAAACTACAGTGTGTGTGTTCATGGTGATGGAGGAACATGTGACCCAGTGCAGCAGAGAGACTCACTGATGGGGTTTAATAGTTTCTCGACAACAATGAAGCTCGATGGCTCAGAGGAAGAAGAGACATGACCTCAAACCTAAATGACAAAATAGGTCGATTCTCAAGATGTCTGTGATTCTCAAGTGTCCCAAGACAACGTATACGTCAGTTGGAAAGTGTGACGGCTCCTGTGTGATCCAGTGAGGCCACTCTGTGGGAGTGATCCCTCACTGTTGTTAACCATCTTTGTTCTGTTGAGGTGATAGCTGATCGGGTGCACCTGGGACCTGTGAGCCAGTGGAGATAAAGCTCCACTTCGTCAAACTAAATTCTCTTCTCCCTTCTCCGCAATCCAGACATCAACCATGGCCTGATCACCCCGACTGCCTCATCTCGCTTTGGGTTTATTTGTGTTACAGAGACACACCTTGCATATTTAATTTAGTTATGTTTGTCACTTTTTGATCATTTATGCTGCCTCGTTCCCTCTTTCATCACGACCTTTCGAGCCAGATTGTAACAAAAGTACAACAACATATAAGACCGTTCCTCAAAACGGCATGTACAAGCGTTGGCAAGTACCAGTCCAGCGTCAGGCGTACTGGACCTTAAGTGCGTTACATAAGTCACGTGACGTTTAACACCCTGAGTTTACTTGACACATCCATCCCCCTTACATGGACTTTATAGCTTTTTAAACTACGCCACCTGACTTCTTCTGCTACTAGACTATATCAGGCTATGATACACACAGTTTGTTAGTAGATACGTTCACTAATGGTGGGATTAGCAAACCAGCAGCAATTGTTTCCTGAGTGGTTGTTTTTATGTTTTATTATTTTCCTTCAACACATTTGACATGATGGGGATGACAATGAAAATGAAAACATTGTCACATTCTTCTTAAACATGCAGCTGAAAGTCGTCACATGAAACAAAAAAGCAGAACAAAAGCGGCTCTTCCTGTGTGAAATGTCGCTCCTCTGTCCCATCGCTAATGGAAAATATTTAACACGCCCAAACAGATGGAAGCAGAGGGTGAGGCAGCATCCTGCTTCTCTGGAGAGGAGTTTATAAATGTGCCTCCATTAGAAAATCATTACTGGAACCCAGCAGCAGCCGGTGGGCTGTTTCCACACCGGCAAAGGTTATTTTCAAACTCTAACTGATGACAGCCTCCTCTCTTTTTATGGTGCAGGTGCTGCCCTACGCTGCTGTAGGGGAAAATAGGTTCATGATTAGCTGGATGTTTCGGAAAAAGACGATAGCTGACTATAGTAAAGAAACGACAAGTTTCTTCATCTTCAGCTGGCATTGTCAAATGAGTACTCCTCGGTCATCTCAGTTAATAGCGCCTCAGTTCACCAGCTCTCACTGTGAGGAAGCTGTAACTGAGCAAGCTGGTGATTAAAAAGGCAAGAAGCTGTTTGTTGATGGAGTTATCGATCAAGTTCAGTGACTCAACAGCTTCTGAGATGTCTGGGTTTTAGAAAACCACCTCCCAGCATGTTCACCTATTTGTTTATGAGAGTAAGACTCTCCACCCACCTCCACATATTTTACACCTCTCAGTGAAGATTTAGAGCCAACAGCAGACCATCTCCAGCTCCGCTTGGGATTATGTAAGATCATCAATGATTAACCCTGATTTTAAGTGTATAAGAATAAGCAGCAAAACAAACTAATGTATTTTTTTATTTTGTTATTTCAAAAATCACTTCACAAACCTTCTCTAGGTCTGTTTGGGTCAGCACTTTGTGACCTACATGTTTCCCACACTGACCTTCTTTGGGTCTGGATTGTTTTATTTTTTGTTTATTTGTTTCTAGCCATCACTAATTTGCAACCCCTGTCCCTGGTTAGGCTTTTAAAGTTAAACAAAATTATTGAGTGTAATTTTACAACCTTTAAAAAACATACAATAAATAAATAAATCCAGTACATGCAATAAGTTACAGACCTAAAAGGAAGTAGAGATCAATATAATATACATTTAACAATATTTAAAATTACAATAAGGCGTGTGCTCACACATGCACGCCCAATGTGCACACATATGTTTGTTTACTGAGCATGCACCAATCAGAGGCAGCGGTTTTTACAGTATTTTTAAACTCCAAAATTCAAAACACTTTTCATAAACCCTATCAAAATCCTATTTTGCGTTGTTTTTTAAATACACTTATTATAAATACAGCCCGCCCCCAACTTTAGGTATGAGTTTGTTGTGGTCGATAAGCCTGCAAAGTGAATCTGGTACCTGAACTTCTCCTTCCATGATTCCCAGCAGATGCAGCAGGTCCGTCTTTGATAGATCCGGCAGAGCTGCCTTCCTGCTCTCTGCAGGTCTCTGAGGTTTCTTAGCTGATCCAGACACCGCCGTCCTCCCGTCCTTCTCCTCTCGCTGGACTTTCATCTTCCTCTTTGTGAGCTCTGGTGTGTTCTCCTCCTCCTGCTTGATAAAACCTTTAGTGGGCTGGATGTGTCCGTCATCTGGACCCTCCATGGTGCAGTTTCTGGATCGCATTGTTTACCTGTGAGGACGGAGAAAATAGAAAATGAAACAGTGCTGCTGGAGAACCAGATGTTTTTAAGGGCAGATGTCACCCATACTTTACTGGATCTACGGTATATCTATGTATAGATTATTTTACGCTGTTACAGGCAGCCGCGGGTTTTAGTTCATTTCAAGAAACTCACTGGTGGAGTGTTTTTGTAGTGTGGTCTTCATCAACCTTCCCACAATGTTCATATCTGCTTATCATTTCTCTTCTTTGCTTGATTTTCCAGCAACGTAACCCATTAATACGCTTTTTGGCAGCCCGAGTCTCAAATTTTGACTGTTCTTGAAAGCACCATGAAAGCACATTTGCAAGTGATGATAGCATGAAAATAAAGGCAATGAAATGTTCACCATGATGGATTACCTATCAAAGTTTCACATACTGAAATGATCTTGCACCAAGAGCTGCCTGGAAGGTAAATCTAAAAAAAAATAATAGTAGGATTTGGAAAAGGAATATTTTCGTGTCTCGTGCTAAAGTAAAAGAAAGAAGAAATGATTGGATCAGTCACGATGTTGTGTCTGGATACGTATTTAATCCGTCAGCTAGTATTTCAAACATGATGCCACATCATGTGAGGCTAAAGAGTAAAAAAACAAAAATCAGAAAGGTCCATTTTTAAAGGTACTTTCTTCGATAATCAGCTGCCAGTGACTGTGAAAGTCGCAAACAAATGATGAAATCCACACCTGGGTGGGCTGATATTAGGGGGTGGGGGGTTGTTATGGAGGTCCTGACAAAGGAACAGGTTAGATGTTATTGGATCTGAACGAGGCCAAAGTTCCCCGAGGCTGCAGGTCTGGATTAAAGCGGGCCGTGACTCAGCCAGGGAGAATCCTGGCAGAGAAGTGGTAGCAACCACGTTACCGCTGCCTGTTATTAATAGTTGTTTCAGGAGAGAAGCCAAGATCTCCCACTGTCTTCTCTCTGACAGTCAGACCGGTGAACTGGAAGAGTCACTGGTGGAACTGGTGGGCAAAGCCAAGACAAGCCTGAAGCAGCACCTGGAGGTTTGGGCTTCAGAGGGGGGGGGGGGGGGGGGGTCTGGACGAGTCAATAACAAGCTCTGTAATGTGTGTCATACTGTGCATACGAGACACTTTTTACAGTAAGCAAAATGTCACACATTCACATGCTTTTGTGGTGCTACAGATAAATTTAGGAAGAGTTCTTAATTTGAGGTCTTTCTGTCTGTTGAGATTCCGGTTGGCAGACTGGAGATCATCATTTCTGTCATGACACCACCGATGAATTGTAGCCGCTCCTCTTAGTGTGAAGTCAACCCATCCTCACCAGAAAAATGGCCTTTCAGCAGCCTATTATGATTGTTTTTTGTTAGGCCACAACCTCTAGTGGCAGAAGAAGTCAGGGGACGTAGGAGCAATGAAGGAGGTAGTGGGGTGGATGGATGCATCAAACAAACTCAGGACTTTCACTCAGGAGACCGAGGTTCTAGTCCTGTGTGAAAGAAAGCCATGTTTTAAGTTAAATAACGTTTTCGTAGGTGACTTGCGTTACTTTTTCATAAACTTCACCAAGTACTTTTGTTGCTTAAAGGCTCTGGAAAAACCTGCCCAAGGAAATCAGGTCGGCTGAGTCAGTGAACTCTTTTAAGTCCCTTCTATAACATACTTTTATAGGAGAGCCTTTCCCGATCTTATTTGACTTTATTTTATCCCTTTTATTTTATTGTATTTTACTAATTTTATATTAATCTTAAACGTGTAATTTAGTCTTTTCAATGTTTTTATGCTTTTATCTTGTATTGTTTTTGTATTATTGTCTTTACACGTGTTAAAGCACTTTGTAACTTGTTTTTGAAAAGTGCTCTACAAATAGAGATTATTATTATTATTATTAAACCTAACCAAACAACGGCCATTTCACAACTTTCCACACGTGTTAAACTTGACTTCCGTAACGTACTTAAGGTCCGGTATACGCCTGTCGTTGTTTTGGGGAACGGTGATTTATGTCATTTTACTTTCCAACGCTCACATATGTTGTTTTGGGACACCTGACAATCGACCTATTTTGTTGTTTAGGTTTGAGGACGTGTTGCAACAAATGGTTAGCAGGGGATGCGTTGCTGCTAACAAGAGTTTAGTTTAGGATTTTATACATTTTGGATATAGATATTGATATCAACCAGTGAGAAGCTCCCTTTAAAATGTTTGTCATTTAGAGCCCAGACCTCTTCATCATGCACAAATGAAGAGTTTTCTTCAAGGTTATAGAAATACCGTAGAATCAAAACTTTGTAACTAAGAAAAATGTTTTTATGCTAGAAAAAAAAAACATACTAATTGAAATTACATCAACATCAACATTTCATTTAATTTATTACATTTATTTGTCATGGACTATGTACAAAAGAACACACAAGGAGAATAAAGATATTTTACCAGATTGAGTTACTAAATAATTTCCCTGGGCAGGTCGATATAAACACACAAGTTAATTTAAGTTCATACAAGTTTTTGAAATAACATCATTAAGATTGAAGTGATCTTGAAACAGGGACCTTCGCTCTATGACTCAAAAAGTGAGTAAACAGTGAGCATGAGGTCTGTAAATAGAGACAGTTTGTTTACAGGTTGTGTAGAAGTTTTCATCCGGGTTACGTCAAAGGAGTTTTGCAGGTCTCAATTGAACCGAGTGTCCACATGCCAGCACGGTGTCGTATGTAGTCCTAGATAAGCAAACTGATCTGCGTAAACAGTTTACCTTCTCCAGAGAGGAACTCTGATTCATAGAGTCATTTCACAGGAGTGACCTGAAGAACAGTCAAGCGCTGATGGTAGATTCCACTTGGGGGGTTTGACCGTCCCTAAAACAGTCCACTCTGCTCGTGCAAGAACAAAGCCTACATGACGTCTTCAAAATGGAAAACACCAGCTCCTTAAAGGTGAACCTTATCTACCTGTTTTTTTATGCTTTTCTCTCCCTCTGTATGCAACCTCATCCCATTATTGCATGTTACTAACTCAACTTCTCCCCTTTCTGGTAGTCTTGTGCTTTCTCGTCTCTCCTCTCTCCTCCTATCACTTCCTGCAGGTGTTTCTGGCTCTGGAGCTGTGGAGTCTGGATCTGTGGTTGCAGGTCACCTGCTGCCCCCGTGTTCCTGCTCGACACCCTCTGCTGCAACAAGTATTGTTACTAATCCTATTGTTATTATAATCATTAACATTATGATTATTACCATAAACATTACCCCCCCCCATCCCTCTCTCTCTCTCTCTCTCTCTCACCCCCAACCGGTCGAGGCAGATGGCCCCCCACCACGAGCCTCTGTCGCCTAGTGCTGCTCTTGGTGGGAATTGTTGAGTTTCTGTAAATATTATCACAGAGTACGGTCTAGACCTGCTCTTTTATGAAAAGCGCTATGAGATAACTGTTGTTGTCATTAGGCGCTATATAAATAAAATTGAATTGAAAATATTGTGCTTACAATTATATATTAGGCTATAATGCGCTTCAAACTTTAAGGCAACAGTTTGTGTTTTTGCCCTCATACCATTTGTGTGCGACTGTGAGCCAGATCTGATCACACAGCATCAGTGTTTGACCTCACTCATACTCTTCTGGCTGAATGGGACCAAATTCCTGCAGCCACATGGTGGAAACACTAAAACCAGAAGCGTGCAGGCTGTTAGAGCAGCAGTTTAATGCCCATTGTTTTAGAATGAAATGTTGAACAGTCACACGTGATATGATGTGTAAAGCTCATGTGTCCAAATACTTTTGGCCATTTACATGACTGACCTATCATTATAATGTAGTTTATTATCTAAGCTTTAGATATAAGGGCTGTAGATATACAATGGCTAACTAGTCTTGCATGTACTTTGAGGCTTTCTCTTTTGAGGATTTGTTTACATTATAATTTCTTTAAAAAAAAAAAAGGTTTCTATCTATATGTCAAATTCCTATGGAACAAATGTAAACAAACCAAAAACATAACCCGCCATATAAATTGTGGATCCTCCCATGGGGAGAGGTATTTATGGAGACGCGATGAGGCTAAACTGGTCCCTCTGATTTACGCTTCAGCCCGGATCAAGCCTCAGACAGCTGCGGCCCGCGGTCGACACACGAGACCCGCAGTGGATAAGTGGTAAAGGAGGTATAAAAAGCTGAAGATACCCCGTGCACCGCAGTGCTTCTCTCCTGCGAGCCAGCTGGTGCAGCGCAAACCACAGTAAAGTAGCAGAGAATCTGACAGGGTCACATTTCCCACTACAAATGCATTACAAAAAGATAACAATTATAGGCAACAGCAACTATAATTCTACCGTACCACAACATTACATTTCCCTTTTCATAAGATAATGAGATACAATTAATGTCAGAGTACAAATCCATCTCCAATACTACAGAGGATGAGCAGATCCTAGTATAGATTCTGGATCAAGTACAGAGCAACATGTAAAACAGATAATTCTCTGTTTTTAATGTAAGCTCTTCATAAAATACTCCTAGTATCCTGGCGTGCGCTAGAGTATTTATTTTTTGGGTGACTGTGGTGGATGAGGTATGTTGGCAGCAGGGTGTCTTAGTGATTAAAAAGCTCATCCACGAGCGAGAAGGTCACAGGTTTGACCCCAGAAGTGTCTCTACAACGGCCCGTGTGTCCTGGTGAGATGTTTCTGTGCAGCTCGTCTGGAGAAAAAGTTTCTGAAAAATTCACACTGCAGCTGAACAATCTTCTGTTATTTCTATCTTTGACTCAGATGTGATTTTTTTTTTAATCAATGTCAGGAAAAATACGTTGTTTGTAACCTAATTATCACTGTTTCACAACTTTAACCATATGTTTGACGTCATGTGACTTAAGGTCAAGTGCGCCTTTTCAACGGTTGTTGTTTATATCGTTTTGGGGAACGGTCCAAGGCAATGCGTCATTTTGGGACAATTGACAATCAACCGTTTTGTCATTTGGTTATGAGGACGTGTTGGAACACAGCCTA